ACCTGCCTCACAGCAAGGACAGCTTCAGCCCCTGCCTCCATTGCTAAAGCAGCCGCTAACCAAGTCTGGCACGCACCCCATCCAGCAGCCTCGGTGTTGCAGGATCCCGAGCTTTTCAAAATGCCTTGGCCACAAAAGCACCTCTTACCTGTGGAATTAGTGTAACTGACTCAGGGATAATTAGTTGGACCATTTCTGTGTTTATACAGGAGTGGTAAGCAACTGCATGTACACTTGTGTGCTTGTGGTTTCACTGGCTCATTAGAAGGATTAAAAGTCACCCCACTTGCTCCGTACAGCTCCTTACTGCACACAGCTAACATCTTAAAACTCAAAGCGTGGCATTTTCAGTCCAGGGCACAGTCAGAATTCCCTTGTTTATCAGCATGAAGAATGATGTCATTTTGACAAATAACACAGCACAAAACAAATGTGTTTGATCTGGCTCTAGCGAATGTTCATAAATCCTAAGTCTTTCTTCACATCCTGGGCAGTGCAGTTTATCTGGCTGCTTGAAGGACCTCCAAGGGAGGAGATCTTCCCAGCAGCTCTCTACACAAGAGCACACGGTGCAGACTCAAAGCCAAGAGAGGAACAGCGTTCTCCATGTCTCTCTCCCTGCTCCAGCCTGCCATGGCCTCCCAGCCTCTGCCAAGCAAACAGGACTGTACCCTCGGCAGTGGCTTGGCACCACAGCCACCCCTCTGCCGGCACCTTTTGCAGAGGGTATTCTCCAGTGCCCTGCATATAGCTGCACACAGTGAGTGGAATATTTTCCTAACAAGGGTAGAGAGGGGGAAAGTTTTGCTTTGCCAACAGCTGGCTGTCAGTTCACAAAACTTGTATATCACCAACGCTTCTGCTTCTGAGCCTTTTGTTGTCAGCCCAAACCTCTCTGGAGATGGAAGAATGAAGTCTCTGTTATCTGAAGGGGTCTTCCCAGTATCTGGCGTGACAGACAACACTTAGAAAGGAGCTCACACCCTTTGCCGGCTAATAATACAGGAGAACTGACAGCATGGTCTGCAACATCCACATCAGATGGGGTGGAGAGGGGTCTACCTGTTTTTCAGATGAACATTTATGATCTACTTTCTCTATTTTACTAGGCTCTGCAAGATTCAGTAGCTGGGTAGCATTTTGAAAGAAAATCTGCATCTATAGGACTGAAGAAAGCAAGTTTCTGTTACCGAAACAGTCTAGACTTGTTCAATAGCTCACAGAAACTGTGATGATCAGCACTGATAAGTAAGATAGATAATGGTAACAGCTGACCTTTTGCTTGATTAATTCATTCCCCAAATTTGCATGATGGAGACAACTGCCTATTACTTGAGACTCCTTGCCATGTGGACCTCTGGGAACTTTAGTAAATAAACCTGGCACATAATTGCTACCGACAATATTTCGTAAGATTAATTATAGATAACAGCAGCAAACCACAGGCCAGTTAAAACTGTGGGAAATCACACATTGCTATCATCATATTATCAAAAGCAAGCATGGAAAGAAACATGACAATGGGCATACACAAAGATTACCTCTTTGTGAAGCCAACACAGTGCATACTCAGGAAGAGAGCAGAGACTAAACATGAGGGCCCACTATGGAAAGGCAGGCTTGTTCCTTCCCTAGCCATGGTGGCTTCTGAAGGAGCAATGACTTTTTAGAAAGTAAAAACAAGAGAACGGACTGAGAGCATTTTGATTACTCAAGCTACAGACTGTAGCTGCCGGTGAGTCTGGATGATGACTGTTCCTACGGTGAGCTCCCCAGCATGAAAGTAACCCATGGACTGGTCTCAAATCAAGACACAGGAACATGTAGACAACCCAGCAAGGGTTATATTGAAAAGCACACTCTTTAAAAGACCTTGCCTGCCAATTTAGGCAAATATGCAGCAATTACTTTGTTGCTCTGTTATGTTAAATAAGTCTTTGAATATTAGCATGTGAATTCATACTGACTTCGCTGTGAATTTGTTGCTAGACTCTACACTAAACATATCCTAGTGGGTAGCCACGGCATGTCAGGCTGTGGGCTTCTCAGACCTCACAAAGTAAACAAGGTTATGGCTGGTCAGGACATGTCTGGGGCATCTCCAAGGAAAATCCAGGGTGATATCAAAAGCAGAGTAGCTAAATCAGTTGCTGGCACTCTTCCCTCTGAGTCAGTTCTGAAGTGATATCCCGATATGCTTTGGGGACACTATTTTTGGTAGAGGTGCTGGCTTGTAGACAGGATGTAAAACTGAGGTCTTGACCTCCCAGGATTATTAAAGAGCTCATGAAAAAGAGTGCAAACCCCTGCGTCTGGAACAGATAAAAGCTGAATCTTGTTATTTTGCCCACCAACACCTCATTTCTTATTTCCGATAAAGTTCATGCCTGTCCTGCTCTTCCTGCGTGCAGGTGCCCTACCCTTGGAGGTGGTGCATTTCAACAGCAAGCAGAGGGAATGTCGTGGACACAGGTCATAGTTTGCAAAACATGCTGAATGCTAGGATTTCTGATACACAATGTTTTCGTTTAGTTACAATAAAATATACTGGAAGATTAATAGACATGAAACATGACGCTCATGAGGTCAATGCCAAACTCTCAGGGAGGCTGGGACTGGGGCTGGCTGTGAAGGCTGAAGTCCTGAACGGGGGCACTTTTCTAGCAGCCCTGTCCTGTGCACACAAGAAGCATGGCTGACAGAGTCCAGAGGCAGTTCTGCTGTGTAGGGCTCCTACAGTGAAGATAAGATTGTGGTGAAGTGGGATGCCTTGCAGAGGAGGAGAATGAATCCTTTGGGCTTCAAAAGCCTTACGCTGTCACACTGAAATAAAGTGACATAACATGGAGACATTCAAAAGACTGGCGTTAACTTGGTTTTGTCCACAGTGCTGCAGGTATCAGCAAGTTAGTGTACACAGTACAGTGAGTTACATGTCAAAGTCCCTATTTAAGCACTTGAGCAAGTGAACTGATTTGCAAATGTGCTGAGCGCTCAGCAGCTCCTCTTGACTTCTAAGTTCTCTTAACTTTGTCCTTCTCACAAAATTCCCACCAGTTGTCAGGGAAGAAAACTCAGGAGAAATGTCTGCCTTAAACTTTTTCTCCCTCTATCTCTCTCTCTAGCACATATAACTGACATTCATGTATCTCCCCCTTGCCACGCTTTCTTTGTAGCATCCTATTTTTGAATATAAAGCCGATTTACTAGCTAGTGCAAGTCTTTCCAAAAGAGGAAATAAAACAGGAAAATCCTTACAGAAACTCTGTGTTCTGACTCAAAACCACAGATTCTCTGCTAGGTTTGTGCCAGTTAGATTCCAGCCCCAGAAGGACTTAAACTTAAACATGCTCAGAGCCAATACATAAACAAATATTCTAGGAGGACAACCATTTTTATCACTGGCTGTGCTAAAGAGATTGGTTACAAACCCTAAGGTTTTAAAGGGGCACGTACTTGAGTGGTTCACCTGGAGCAGTGGTAATTGGTGACAATGTGATGTTACTGCATAGCTCTACACTAGCTGCAGAGAAGATCCCCAAAGGACTAGTACCTACGGCCCTGGCTTACCAATAGTCTCTCTGCAAGAGACTGTCCATATGCTCTCCTTGGACTATCTGGATTATGTCATAGCAAAATACAATCAATGCACCTTTGATCAATGGAACAGGGTGGTGACAGGTACTCTTAATTCACTGTTGTTAGTGAGCATTGACAAGTCTGTAATGATCATGCTGCAGTGTGTCATTCATGCTGGGGGCATTAGCATTCTTTAAAGGTCAAAAAACAAATCCTTCTAGAAGACTGAATTCCATACAGGAAAACGCAGGCCTTGCGAAGTCAAGATGTATGCCTCTGCACAACTGAGATTATCAGAGCTGAAGTTGGTACAGTTGTTGGCATTATTAACGAGTTCATCAATTTGCAGGTGTACAAACACATGGCATGGATGAACACAACGTGCAAAAGCAGCGTAAGAAAATTTCCAGGCTTATGTGCACAGATCATGTTGTTTCTAGAGGTCTGGTTAAAATACAGTCCTTGGATCCTGCAAGAGATCCATTGGGTAAGCTGATCTTTGTAGGCATTTATTTGCACTCTGATACAGAGTCTGCCCATTTTCAGCTGGGTACCAGATCAACTTGCACATGCAAGTTTGCAGAATTAAGATTTTTTTATTTACTTTTTAAAATTATGCTATTTTGTTTTCCCATTAAAAGGTGTGGCACATAAACACTGTCCACTGGCGAGAAGTGGGGAGAAGAGACTCTCAATTTTCAAGACGCTGTTTCTGAATTGGGGAAGGGGCACAATAAGAATCAAAGAAAAAAACTGGGATTGCAGAAACCACATAAACTGGCCACAAAATGATACTTACTTTGTGAGACTCTTACTAGCTCAGTCACACTGAAAACACCTGATGTGACAAAACTGTCCTGGAAGCCCAAATGTCCTACAAAACAAACAGAGTGAGAGAACTGCGATTAACTTTAAGCATTTAATGACAGTATTCTCAAATACTTTACTTTCATTTAGACTTAAGATGTGACATCTAATTTCCCACTTAGCAGTAATTATTGTTTATGTAGGTGGGTAACTAGTCATACAGCTATGTAGGCTGCTTTGTGGTTTCTATCTAGAGGTTAGGAAAGCTAACATGACACATCAGCAGGGAGATTTTTACATGTTAAAGCATCTCAACAGGAAATCTGAAACAAAAGAGGACTATTTTAATAAACGGTTACCTTGGATGACCCCTAATGACTTCACAATTGAAATGAAAATACTGTACCTAGGAAACAGACAGGACAGCTAAGTTCCATAATCGTTTTAAACATTATTCTCTAAAGAAACATCTGATCAGGATTATCTACCCATTCATTCAAACAAAACAAGATTTAAAGATGTACTCTTCATTTTCTAAGGTTACACTAGGGAAATCTTAAAATAGCAGCTGGTTAAAAAAAAATTATTAATGCCTTCCACAAAATGATACTTACTTTGTGAGACTCTTACTAGCTCAGTCACACTGAAAACACCTGATGTGACAAAACTGTCCTGGAAGCCCAAATGTCCTACAAAACAAACAGAGTGAGAGAACTGCGATTAACTTTAAGCATTTAATGACAGTATTCTCAAATACTTTACTTTCATTTAGACTTAAGATGTGACATCTAATTTCCCACTTAGCAGTAATTATTGTTTATGTAGGTGGGTAACTAGTCATACAGCTATGTAGGCTGCTTTGTGGTTTCTATCTAGAGGTTAGGAAAGCTAACATGACACATCAGCAGGGAGATTTTTACATGTTAAAGCATCTCAACAGGAAATCTGAAACAAAAGAGGACTATTTTAATAAACGGTTACCTTGGATGACCCCTAATGACTTCACAATTGAAATGAAAATACTGTACCTAGGAAACAGACAGGACAGCTAAGTTCCATAATCGTTTTAAACATTATTCTCTAAAGAAACATCTGATCAGGATTATCTACCCATTCATTCAAACAAAACAAGATTTAAAGATGTACTCTTCATTTTCTAAGGTTACACTAGGGAAATCTTAAAATAGCAGCTGGTTAAAAAAAAATTAAATTAATGCCTTTTCCACAAAAAAAAAAATCCTAACATTTAAAACTAGCTTTTGAAAAGAAAAATAAATCTCTGCATAGGAAAAGTATTAACTTTGAGCTTTGGACTGTCTTTAGGAACCAGGGCATACGCTTCCACGCTCGCCTCCGTTGTGCAAGGAATGCCTCTACACTTGGTATCAAAATGTTATTACACTTTACATAACAGTATTTTCCTTCTTCTCTGAAAACATGCCTACCACCAAATGTTCATTTAATTTTCACGGGTATGATCAATTACAAAAGGAGCAGCTTTTGGGCTGCAACCCAGTGTAAGTGTGCAGAGTGGGATACAGCAGTTCACGCGGGACATATCTGGACTTCAATTAGAGGTCTGCAGTTAGTTGGCCAGACTGACCTCCTGCTTTTGAAATCAGGGTCAAAGGAGAAATCTCAGGATAAAGAGATTATTAAAAGAACTGTAAAGTCCTACTTGTCCACAGGATAAGTGGCATACCTTTTTAGGTTGTCCTACTTAGAGTCACTGATTCCAGCGCATGCACACATATATTATTGAATGATTTGCAGGGGCAACATCTGCTCTGTTGTTAATTGTTTGTCAGATTCAGTACAATTTCCCTACATTCAGTATATTCTACTATACCCCCGTGCTCATCACAGCAATACCTGCACACCTCCTATAGTGACCAGAGCAATAGGACTAATGCAAGCTGCGTATTTGTTCTCCTGTCTTTCTTTCAGGGTTGTTTAAAAAAACCAAACATATCCCATTGCCATTTCTACCTGCAGAATGGGAAGTAAAAGAAATGCATCTTGTGCGCAGGACTACAGAGGTTGACATATCAGGGAAAGGTTTGGGAGAGAGGTCAGCCTTTCATCTCCAGCCAACTCCTCAGCGATTTCTGCTCTTGCACAGAAGAACTTCCCTGTTTCTGTGAGGACCCTATGGTGCCAGATGAACGCAGTCGCTAAGCTAACAGACTTGAGACAAGTTTCTACATCAGGCATGTTTTTATACTTCAGCAATAATGATGAGTTTTCAAACTGTGTATATGTATATCTTTGGGCATCCTTGTGTATGTGTGTATACATATGTATTATGTACACAAACATATAAATATACACAAATCTGTCATGCTCCAGCTGTAGATAAATGTACTATAAAATATTGAAATTGATGCTGAAATTCAACACAAACAAATTCCTCAATCTGCAAACAAGGTTTTTATTTACATCAAGAGAATAAATTTTTCTCTACTTCAAATGAAAAAATGTTCTTACAAGCTTTTATTTTTCCTTATTTTCAACTCAGAAATAGCTCTCAGATAATTGTAAATGCTTTTGCCTGATCCGCTTTGTATTTTACCATAATAAAGGTGATGACTACATCATTCTGCTTTTTAGAAATGGTTGCAGGCCATACACAACGTTTGTTCATTGACAATTTCCCAAGTATTTTTAATATGAAGATCTACTTTTCATATGCTGCAGCAGACCTGCCTATTGAATTAAATGATCTGTGAATTAAAAATAATTCTCTTAGGTCTTCACTGAAACCACTCATGTGCCTAAAATTAAGCATATGCTTAAGTGCCTTGCTGGATCATGGCCAGGATGCTTACTACTCCGCAGAGCCCTTTGTAGGGAAGCCAGTCTATGCTATATAACTTCTCATACTGTGCTCATCATGGCAGTATCTGACCAACTTCCAGAAGTGCATTCAGCAATGCTATGAACATCTGTCACGTGTTGTTTTTTCACAGTGCAACATACTGGCTCTGCTCTAGTGTCCACTTCTACCTGCACTTCTAAGGCACGTTCCTATCACACTAAGAGTGAAGGTGAAATTTAAATATGGAAGTAAAAAACAAATCACAGCTACGGTAGGACATTTGGCTGATTTTTTAAGGAAAAGTCTAGAGCCCTTTGTAATCATCCAATAAAAACATGATTGTCGCATGGCTAACTGTGTTACCTTAACCTAGCAAGCACAGGTAAAACCAGAAATGAAAATGCTGTAGAATGGTTTAAATACATTCTAGCTTTCACGGTCCCACAGGGCATAAGAAAAGTTGAATAAGTTAGCTTGGGCCTGCTAACTTCATTATTCTTATTTTGCTGGGTGTACTTGAAATATGCACTTCTGTAGTGGGAACATTTCTTATGCGTGTACATGTAATAGTAATCATTAAACAGCAGCATGCAACGAGAGTGATTAGATTTTCATCCTTCAATACTGAAAATAAACATTTCACAAATGAAAGGTGAATTTCACAATTCTCCAATTTGTTATTTACTTATAAACATTAGGAAATCAGGGACTCATCTCGCCAATCATTAATAATATCTTGATACCCATAAAAGCAATGTCCTTGGCTTAGAGCTGTATCTTGAACTCAATTCGATGCACGGTTGGTCTGTGAATAGTTCGGTAGAACTCCATGAAAGTTTAAAGGTTTGCCTGGATGGTTCAGATTGCAAAATCCAGGCCTAAGACTGTAGCTTTTGCTGAGCTGTGATAACAGTGCAACAAGAAAATGAGAGAAACAGGACAAAGAAGCTAGACATGTAAAAGAAGAATGACTGGGAAATAGCAGGATTGATAAAATATGTGAAGTAAACATTTTGCGCCTATTAACAGGGGTCAAAATGCAATAATGTATCAATTTGGCTGTTCCACTTAATTCTGAATCAGAAAAAAATAGGTAAAGTCAAGCAATTACATATGCAGTTGTTAGCATTAACGAGCTCCTTTACTGAAAAGATGATTAAACATCTTGAAAGCTTGCAAGATTTACTTTTCATACAGCACTTTACTGAAATACACTCACTGTGATACCTTTGCTAAATATCCCAAAGGTAGGACATTGAAATTGCTGTATACAATCTGGTTATCTCCGCAGCTTTGTGTGACAGTCACATTTTGGTAGGAAAGCAGGTGTTCAAAATGAGGATGAGAGAATTTTTACTCACTTTATAAAAAACTAACAGAGCTCATTCACTGAAATTCTGGGTATTAATTAAGACACCTGGCTAGCCAAGGCAGGCCCTGACTCAGCAAAGCAGTTAGAGCACGTGCTTAATTTTAATCACATGCTTGACTAAAGCATATGCTTATTTGCCCTGCCAAATAAAGATAGGCTGACAAGTTAAGCAGGTATTTAAATATATTGTTGAATCATTGCCTTCAACCCAAGTCTAAGTCCAGCTAGGAGTTAGCTCATTACACAAGACCTCACTTCGGCTCACAAGGATGATTGGTTTTCCCCCAAAGGGGAAAAAACCCGAGGCTTATAAGACCAGACTGAATAAAGCAGATCAGGATACTAGCTAATAAATAACATGACATTACCCAGTCGCATGTTTGGTATTGCATACAAACACGATGCAACACTATCATAACAAGTACCACATGAAAAATGTTTTTCCATAGCTTGATGATTGCTTTAATTGGGGAGAAAATTCATAATGCAATTTACGTATTCTTCTTTTTGATCCCAGTAAAGAAGCCAGAAGAACAGGCTTGAATTGCTGGAGCCTAATTCTGATCTCAAAGAAGTTTTAAACAAGTCTTTCTACACTGATCAAATAGAGTTTCACCTAATTTTCTCCTAATTTACACTGGCAGAGGAGAAATCAGGATTAGGACTTGTTGTCTAATGCTATTTGTTTTGAATTATTAAGCAAACATTCCTATTTCAATGAGTAAACGTGTACAAAGGCAACTAACCTTCGTCCTAAAATCTAGTTTACAGGGAGAGTATTGTCTGCTTTCCCAATTAATGCTGTAAAAAGGAGTCTCAGACGTTGAGCTACCAATCAAGAGCTTGTGTTGTAGCTTGAGAAAATCATGACTGATGCAATTACTTTTATGTAGAAAGTCTGAATATGGTCTATAGGTTAAAGTTCATCGGGTTATTGTTCCTTAATTGAATATCAGAAGATGTTTTCAAGGTGCTCAAGGTATTATTGTTATTTAATTAGCAGGCTTCCTTGTGTAATCCAACAGTATTATTTTTATTATAAAATAGTTAGATTGCACCATAATATACAAGGTATTTTCTAAACAGAGATACAGCTGATTTCCTGAAATCCAAGCTTAAATAAAACTGGGCTAGAGTTACTCCTTTGAAGATGACAAAGTCCATATCCAGTTATTTCTCTTCCACTACAGTCTGAGTCACAACGTATTAAGCTTTGGAGAACAGCTTTTTGGGAGACTTTGATTCCTTTTCAGTGTTTTGAAATTACACGAGTCCCCCAAACGAGCACTGAAGCCATTTCTAAAGCCTTTTTCACGTTCAGCATCTCGCTATACATAGCCATCTTAAAACCTTAAAATAGTAATAATCAATTAGGGTCTCAAGCCTATTATCTTAACCAAATGCCTGATTAAAAGAAAAGCCCTCTCTGCTCAAAGTGCAACTTGATTCCTTTTGGTTTTATCCTCTATCTAGATAATCCCATGTTTCACAAACAATGT